ACACAAATATTTTTAAATAATTACATGATTATTTTTCTATAATAATTTACCTGATTAAATTGTAATTATATTTTTTTGTATATTGTAAAGATATTGCACGCCATTATCATGGTAGAATGTAACGTCTTAATAATAAATAACAACATCATAATATTATGTACGACAAGACATTCCGAAAAGTAACATTAATTTTTTTCTATATCTCTCTTAATTTCCAAGATATAGACTCCTTTGTTAGACTAGTAGAGTTATATAAGTAGACACGAACATGTATAAATTTATTTATGTTTATTAAGACTTTATTTGATTATAAGCATTCGAAAAAAAATAGTATTACAATATTTACATCACAGATAAATGAAGGCATGTTTTAGATAAGCAAAAAGTATACAATTACCTAAGACTCAAATCATCAACATCCAAATTGAGAGTATCTTTTCTTCTTATACGCTCAGTACTTTCTTTAACAACCAAGTTTTCTTCAGATGTAATTCTCACTCGAACATCAAATTTATCTACTTTGGATTTTACTTCTGCTTCATTAGGAACGGCCATTGTTATGTTTTCTGTTGAAAATGTTTCAAAGTTTATTTTATTTTTTTCCAAATCTACAATATCGTCAAAATGTTCTTTTTTCTCTTCAAAGTGAAAAGAAGCTTGCGAGTCATATGACTCTTTTCTTGGCCCGTCTTTATCTTTCTTTTGTTCAACAGCAGAATCAGTATCAGAAGTACTACTTGATATCACACTTCCTTCTTTCACAGACCTCACTTGTATTTTAACGTCAAATTTAGACAGTAACTCAAATTTAGTCCTAAAACTTGGCAAATGACAACTTTTATCTTGCTCTGTTACTGTTATTTGACTTTTTGAATCTATTTCTGATATCTCTGACTGAGTGTGTGATGATTCTACATTTGGAATTTTATTGATGTTGTCCTCTTGAATTTTTTCCAATTTTTCAGTAGCACAAAAATTATCAATATCCTCCACTTCTGTTTGCTTTTCTTCTACTGACACTGCACTATTTAAGTCTGGTGTAACTGTTTTAGCTCTCACTTCACTGTCAGCATAAAATTCTTCATTTTTTCTTGGACTGTATGTAACTTGAAGTTTTATATTTTGAGAAGACTCTCTATCTTCTAAGCCAGAGTCTATTATTTTCCGTCTTAAAATATGATTTTCAACAGTTAACTTCTCTATGACATCTGCATATTCTAAGCAGTTAGAGTGTTGTTCATACTTTTGTTTTAGCTCTTTTAATTCATTCTTAGATACCTCTAATGCAGTCCTTAGAGATACTACAGTTTGATGGAGAGCTCTTACTGTATCCAAATGCGCAGTCCCCGGTGGGACCGATTGCAGCCTTCCACTGTCCATTCCACCTTATAATCCGTCCTTAGTCCAATATCCAAGATCTCATACATGACTACTGATCTTTTATAACGCTTTATTTTACTGTTCAGCACTTGCCATTGTTAATCAAACCTAAACGAAAGTCACGCATTCGATACACATTTTCAGCAGATCGTATCATTGTATCAGGTCTTTAGTTTAAAATCGATAAAACAACTCAACATAAATAGGCTCTGCTAAGAAAAGTTAATAGGCGAAGTTTACAGCTGGTACATATATTTTGATAAACACCAACACGGAAGCCAACAATTAATTAAAAGTATTATCTCCAAATCGTTTTTACAAGGTTGTCGGACTTAACTATAGATGTATATGAAAACTGAAAATTTTCCTTGACTCTTCTTCGGTGTAAACAAATCAATACTTAAATTCAGTGTTCGCGGGGTGCAAGTAGGAGTAAAAAAGATCTCCGAATATCGATATCTCCTTCTTTATCTAATTTGTCATTTTGACTTATAGTTTGATGCATTCAATATAATCTAAAAAAGTAAAATACTTCTAATTTTGTGCTAAAAAAATATTTATACTTATCTATTAATATGGAGTGTAGAGAGAAGGAGGACCATCTCTATATATGAAAAGTGTCCCTAAAAACGTGTCCAATAAGGGTGGCGCTGCAGTAGCATAAATAAAAAAAAGCACCAAAAGTAATTAGAATAAGATGGAGAAATAAACAAGGGCCGACCAATTCGCTTGGTTTTGTAATACGTAAATAGTTGAGATTTTGTATACTGGCGTTTTACTAACTACTCTAATCATGAAATTTTTTAAATATTTGAATTCAGCTGACTTCACTCCGTTCACTATTTGAGCTATCTTCATATTGTAGTTTTTCAGACGCTAGCGCTATTGTGGTAGGTCTTGGGACCTCTATTTTCAGTAAATAGTAGAACACTTTTTCAACTTTCGCCCCTTATAAGATGGTTCTCCTTGTACTTTACACTCCATACCTATTAATTAAATGGTGTAGTTGATTAAAATAAAGTAATTATTTGACGTCTGTCTTGCATTTTTAACGCTGCTCCATAAGCTGTCCATTTAAAAAGTTGTTACTCTATGATTCTTCCCTGTCGCCAGCTCGCTGGTCTTAATCATTTAATTTATGTTTTGAAGTAGGATCAAAGCTTTTATGTCTGGCGAAAAAAAGACCCCGAATGAAATCACGACATGGCTTAAAAGACAGGCATCGAAGCAAAAAAATCTTCGAAATCGTTAAATAGTAATAATAATATCAGCATTTAGACTCCTTAGGGTAATTAAATACATACTTATGCATAGAGACAACCTATATTTCTACATAAATTGAGTCAATATACTTGTCTAGCTTTAACTAATTTAATTTTCAAATAAGGCAAGAATTAACACAGACAAGTCTATTGAACAATGTTGCGTGCAATTCTTGCGTGGAAATAAAAATGTCTAGTGGTCATCTTTGATCTATTCCATGAAGTAAAGAGTAGAAGGAGAACCATCTCATATGAGGGGAAAGTTGAAAAAGTGTCCAACTCTACACTGAAAATAGAGGTTCCAAAACCTACCACAATAGCTCTGGCGTTTGAAAACTACGATATGAGTATAGCTGTTGTAGACGGAGTGAAGTCAGCTGAATTCAAATATTTAAAAACTTGCCTGACTAGTTAGTAAAATGCCAGTATACAAAACCTCAACTATTTACGTAGTCTAAAATAATTAAAATAATTAATAGAATCAGGCGTTACTTTGCGGAAGTCCATTATATTAAAGTTGGTTAAAAATCACTTCGCGTACATCCGCTCGATAAAATAAAATGATGTGTCTTACCTAGTTTGAAGAGCAACTCCCGCCCTTCCTCAATTGCGTGCACTATCACCGTCACCACTAATCCCAGCAACACTACTCCCAACACCACTACACTAGGAAATACACACCACTGACGACAATACGACACGTGTTTCGCCTCTACACGAGGCATCTTTATTTTATCGAGCGGACGTATGCGAATTAAGTTTTTGCCAACTTTAATAAAATAGTCAAGTTAATATAACCAAACAACTGTTGTGAGAAAACGTAGACTGAGATTCATAGACTGACCACGGCACTAGCCGCGGTCGGTCTATAAATCTCTCGTAGTGTTAGTTATAGGTAAGTTAAGTAACGTTTTTTAATGGCACATTAATAGAGGTTTCTATGGAATGCATAAACGGCATCAACCTTATAAAAGAAAGAAATTGATAATAATATAGCTATAGCTATATCTTATTTTGTACCACGTTAAATGTCAAGTTTAAAGAGATCAGCTTAAGAATTTTTTTTCTTATTTTAGGACTCTCTCTAAGCTAGTAATTATACTCTGAGTAAGAGCCACAGACTATGCTGCTTACGCATTGATATGAGCCACAAATGTATATAATAAAATATTGTATGTATATTATGTTATGAAAATAAACGTAATAAACTCCAAGACCGGCCCATACTTACGGAATTCCGTTTCGTGATGTCGTTTCGGAATCCCGAATCGGAATTCCGTAAATATATCACACACATACGTTTATTTCCGTTCGAAATAACAAGGCTCAGTTGAGATTGAGACACGTCAGCCATTGAATTTAGACATTCTGCCAGCGAAAAATGACGACATTTTCTGATTGCGATTCTATTGTTGCTGTGTCATTGTTACCGGGTGCACCCTAAGCTTGCAATATAGTCAATATTATGTAAAAATATCTTTCTATGCAGAGATATTTTTTAAAAGTATGGATGTCGGTAAACCCTTTCGATGAATTATTAAACAAAATAAGATGAAAGGCTACGAAAAGCTATACACATATTAGATTAAATGTAAAAACCTACTTGCTTCGGTCGTGCGACGAACACTGAGAGCGTTCCGTGCAGAATTTACGAATGTGTTGCGACTCAACTCATATAAAATCTATGGAAGTCTTGCATTCGGAGCGGCTTTTTCTCTTCGGGATTCTGAACGCATAGGCGGTCTTACGGAATCTTGAATCGGGTGTGGCGGGCCTTAGGCCGGTCACATACATACGGAATTCCGTTTCGGAATTCCGAACGAGTCGGCCACACACATATGGAATCCCGTTTTGCCCGCAAAATTTCGAACGGAAAACTACCGTATTTGTGTGACTGGTCATAGATTTTATATAAACTTGCTGCGTTCGGAATCTCGAATCGGAATATCGAAACGGAATTCCATATGTATTTGGTCGGCCTAAGGGCCGCTACATACATAGAGAATTTCGTTTCGGGATTCCGTTTCGATATTCCGATTCGAGATTCCGAACGCAGCAAGTTCATATAAAATCTATGACCCGCCACACACGTACGATAGTGTTCAGTTCGAAATTTTGCGGGCAAAACGGGATTCTGTATGCGTGTGGACGACCCGTTCGGAATACCGAAACGGAATTCCGTATGTGTATATGGCGGGCCTTTGGCCCGCTGATAAAACATCGTATTCGTATTTGACAATATGATTTTGATTTTGACGTAATATGCCACTTGTCAATTTTGACATAACCATGTCCTAAACATAACCTAAAATATATTTAGTTTGTTTTATTTCGCTTTTGTACATCTTTCTAATCAAAATGTTTAATATAATTAAAGTACATAGAAATATTTTATCATTTCCTTGTAAAGTGTTTCAAGCGAGACATAAAACAAAAACCCATTGGGTAATTTACAGTGACTATAATATTATAGCATATTCATTAGGTTTTCCGTTGTTAAAAAATGAGTTATGTACGTATATTTTGTAGGCGAAATTGAAAAAGAAGACTGGACCTAAATATAAAGCTTTAAACCACTTCGACGAATTTTATGGTTCTGTTTTTGGAGAGCAATGGCCCCCAATGAAAGAGGCATTATTGCGCCGGTCTAAGTATGTGGCGGTTATTAACAATTATGGAGATGCCGAGGAAACAATAAGTTATCTTACCAATAGAGGTATCCAAAGTACTATTCCGCGAAATCATTTACCTCTCCTTTTTTTGTTTTCTATATTTACCATACGGAACACAGCAGTGTTAACCTGCTATTTTACGCTGGTGTTCTGTGAGAGCATGGTCCTTTCCCGTTCATGGCGACCCATTCTTGCTACAACTATACTATTAATATAGCTGCAGCATGGCTCTACCATGTATAATCTGCTATTCAACAATAATTGTTGTAAACCACTTCTAAAACAAGCATTTTAAGCTTAATTAAAGTGTTTTTTTAATACTCGAAACCATTTAGAGATTTTCATTAAAAGACTTCGAGTTTTTGCATAAGTTACATTTAAATGATAATTGAAAGTTAGATTTTGAATCACTTCTAATCTAAAAGGATCCTGAAAAAATTACAGCCTATATACATCCCACTGCTGGGCACAGGCGTCCTGTCATTTCAGAGAAAATTTTAGCTCAATGCTTGTCGGTAAACTTCACATATGTCTTCAAAATACTTAATTTTTTTCTTACTTCTCAGACATACACGTTTCCTCACTATGGTTTCCTTACCTGCCTAACATGTGCTAAATCAGCACTTAAATATGCAATTCACAATTTTATTGGTGCAGGAGGGGATCGCACACTAAGCCCATGAGCTACCACACCTGGTCTCTAAATTGGATGTTCCAAAATTCCAAAGCCAATTCTATGTACAGCAACTATCATAACATGAGTGCAGGCTCATTATTATACTAATGCAGCGTGCCTTTGCTCAACCTTCCTCACCTTTTTCCACAGCAAGAGTTCTCATTGACTAAGGACATTTATTCAAATTAGTTTGAGGAGGTTTTTATCTGCTTAGTAATAATTGTAATGAGAGCTATAATAGCTCAGGGGCTAAGTACTCGCTGTAAATTTCGTAGTGCATGAGCGACCTAAATTCGATGAGAAAATCATGTAAATATATAATTTATACTTGTACAAATTATCAAATTATCCCCCAATATACAAATCAGGCATAATTATAAATGGAGTAAATTTAAGTTATTATGGTTCAAGTAGAAGTTCGGATAATAGATATTATGTACATACAATTTTAATTGTTAAATCGATAAATAAATGCTAGTCCTTTCAAAAATAAAATTGTTAGTGCTTGGTGAAACTCCATCTTCATTTTTGTAATTTGGATAAGCACTTGTACTAGTTTCACAATATTTATTTTTAATTATTATTACACTAATATAAGGGCAATGAAGAGGCTGATCGCTTATCGAAGCTAGCTGCAGTAGAGGGTGAAATCATTAATTTTATACCAGATCCGACTGAATATGTCTCAAAATTTAAATGTGTATGTTACCAAAATTAGAAAAGCTATTTTGAAAAGAAATCCTAAATGAAAGGCATCTGGTATAGAACTATACAAAGTGAGCCTTATCACATACCTTGGTTTAATGATTGTGATCTCAGTAGAAATTTTGTTAAGTAAGCCTTAAGACTTCGTTTTGGACATATTCCATCAGCAAAGTTCGCTTTTTTAATAAAAAAGCCTTCACCGAATTGTGGTGTATGCAACAAAATTGAAGATGTTTCCCATTTGTTGATGGAGTGTGTCAAGAATGAAAAAGATATATAGGCCGTGTTGAAAGAATTTAACGCAAATGTTTTGGATGTCGATCTAGTGCAAATGGTTTTATCAAACCCGAAATCAAAGATGTCAAGAGGGTTATTCCGGCTTGCCTCTAGGACGGATTAATTATCTTCTCTTCTTCAGTATAAATTTCTTTTTAGGTTATTAATTTAACTAGTACTCACAATTATATATTTTTATTTTGTTCTAATGTTAGCAGTAATTAGTATAAGGTAAGATGGGATTGGCATGTCATTTTGACAAATATCCCAAAAAAAGAATTAAAGAAAAAAATATAAAACCGATTATTATAACCCTGATTATATTGTTAGGCTAAACCAGTTGTATAATAATAATTTTTAAATAAATATTGTGAAACTGGTACAAGTGTTTATTGAAATCACAAAAGGAGGCCATTTTCTCTTTGCTAAAACCCTCTCACAAATTAGAGGAAGCCTGCATCCAGCAGTGGGACATATATAGGCTGTAACTTCAAGAAATTCTCAACATTTCCAATGGTCATCCCAATTTCAATGATAGCTCAATAAATAAGTATGCAATTTTTTGAAAATGTAGTATTTATACTATTTAGAGGTTTTAATTAGCTGTTATAAAAATGTGACAACCTCCTCCAACCACTTCATTCTGCAAACTTATTGACCTGTCCTTATACTTGGAATGAAACAATTAAAAATAAAACTCAAACAAATAATATGTAATATTGCTTGTGATTAATATGTAATAATAATGACATTAATATTTAATTGAATATTTCACTGCAAACTGTCAATTTGAAATAAAATCAACTTGATATCATGCTACATAATTACAGGTGCACATTGCCTCAAGGAATTGATGAAAATACAGCAAGATTTTCATAAAACATATAATCCCATTCAAGATAGTACCGAAATGGAATCACAATCACATGCAAATGTTCTAAAAGACTATGTATCAAAACTACAGACTAGTGAAGTTTCAGAAATTTATCCAAAAACTGATAATATCCCAGAAAAAATAGATTTAAGGGATAAGAATACAGAAATTGCAGCGGAGGAAAAAAATACAGTACAAGATAATGTGTATGTAATTGTTATACCATACTGTTTTGCCACAAAGGCCTTATAAATTAAAAAAAAAAAATATCATCCCAACTCTAAAATGTTTTCTATTAATATAGCACCATTTACCTTGTGCAGGTGGTGCTTCCAGAATACATGGCTAAATGGTTACAAATCCCCACACATACCTTCTCAAAAACATTATCATAATCTCCTTGTACCTGCAGCTGCATTCAGGCCTACCTCCGACTTTATTGATATTGTAAAAACTTTTTCTGCTCTCTCTCTCTCTCTGAACTTTCTGCACATAGGTAAAAACCAGTGATTATCTTGCACAAAAGCTTCTAGTATTGGGCTATACCCTGCTGTGCAACTTCAGAAATACCAAAAACATAAATCTGTGTTGTGTAATGTTGTATATGTGTATGTGTAATGTGTAAAAAATGTTGTGTAATCGACAACATCCTATATGAGGACCACACTCTAAATTAGCTAGGAAAAGATCATCCCTTTGGAATTAATATATTATATAGTAATATGTACATATGTACAGAAGATGATACAATACTCTTACAATATTCATCACTTATATATTGTATACTAGCTGTCGCCCGCGACTTTGCCTGCGTGGAATTTACTACGATTTAAATGGGTTTTAATTTTCTTTACACTGAACCCCAATTCTTTTTCTAGAAAAGTAGCCTAAGTTACTCCTTTTAACATCAGCTATCTGTTAGTGAAAATATCGTCAAAATCTGTCTAGCCGTTTCGTAGATTAGCCGGAACAAATAGACAGACAGAAGACAGAAAAATTTTAAAAATTGTTTTTTTGTTATTAGTACCGTATATACTTTCATATGCATTTAGTAAAATGCTGTTATTTTAACATTACAAACAGACACTTTAATTTTATTTTTATATATTATATTTTATGTATTGTATTGTAAAATGGTTTAAGTACCAGGGTTCTATGTAAAATCTTATTAACTTTGTTTTCCAGAGTAATAAAGAACAAAACACTTGACGAAGCTTTAGAGGAAGCAGAGATAGATCAGAGTCGATTAATTGATCCATCCATGGGGATCAATTCAGAAGTTCTCTACCAATATATACCAGCAACCAAACTGAAAGGATTAGATGAATGGGTGCCCGAGTCACTTCATTATTCTTATTACACCAGCAGTATGTATATTCCTATTTCTTTTCTTGTCTTCTTTATGTCGTTGTGTGTTAAAACATAGATTATGTGGTATTGGTGATGCGGTAATACTATGCTGGGGTTAAGTTTCAACAGATTACTTTAAAGAATTTAGGAAATTATATTTAATTTTTGAATAAAACAAGGTAGAACTTTGCATTTATTTTGCACTTCACTTCTAAATTAAATAACATTATTTTACAAACACATCATTTTATTCCTTAAAAATATATCACGGCACTTAGATTTGGAATTTCTCTAATTATAATTTATTACTTAAAGTGCAATAAAGTATATAAAATTGATTTTACAGAAGACAAGGATTTCCCGTTAATTGTAGAACCAGAAACTGAGTTCAGGTTTCCAGAACATTTGAAAGTATACACATACGAAATGGATAGTGAATGGGGCATGTTTCCAGAGCCAAAGAGATGTCAAACAGGTCTTGTATAATTTTTTTAAATAAATTTATAATATAAAATACATAATGTTAAAAAATGTTATTTCGCTCAGCCACAGTTTTAACACCTGACAGTTGGGATGATGCCATCATGCCATGATTGAGGCCAGCGTGTATGCTAGGGGTTGTCACGAAATTGGAAATAAAATGATTTTGGATATTATAATACTCATTATTCTTTATAAACATTATGTACATACTTATAAGTTAAAAACGTTTATTGAACAAGATTATTTTTTATTACTACAAGAAAAACACATTTACAAGTGTTGCACTGCCAAATATTTTCGTTACACTTTCTTTTCGTAGATGTTTTCGGTTTTTGATTGTTAAATTTAATTATGTAGTGTATTCGCATTCGGATAAACAATTTTATCAACAAAAAAAGGGAGGGAAACATAAGCATGGCCGTCATTTGAATTCAATTTTACTTAGTATACTCATATAACTATAAAAGTAATTAGTTAAATAAGTACTATAAAATGCTCGCACCAACCGCCGCCAAACGCGTATTGTCTACCAGACTCAGTGAAGTGCGATAGCGCAAGGTCGGCCCGCCCACTTCCCTACTGTATCTTTGCTCTGCACAAGTACATTCGTCATATATATAACGGTGAAATAAGTGTTCTGATGGTGATGTGATCATTGAGTTATATGTACTACGTACTAGAGAAGCCATTCAAAACAAAAATTGTGTCCTACTCTATGTCTTCGCGCATGCGCGGGAGTACTAGTGGCGCATGAGCGAAGATTTTAATTTGATTTAAAATAAGATATTAATATAAAATAAATATAAGAATTTAATATAAAATATCTTAATTTAATCGAAACAAACATATTTCTAAATAAAATGTATATTAATAATAATAATAATTTTATGGAATTCACAAATCTTCAATTTACGCAATATTTAGTTTATATGGATTGCACTACAGTTCAGTTGAACATAGTCAATGTTCGGAATGGCTTCTCTAGTACGTAGTACATATAACTACAATGGATGTGATTCTCAAGATAGGTGTCTGTCTGCTTAGGCGCCTTGAGATACCATCACCAACTATCAGCTGTCTGCTGGCTCAAGTTGCCTTTAAAATCTCCTAAGGGCTGCACAATGTGACGCAACAACATATTGTGAAGCAGTGTACTATGAAGGATAATTATACATTGTAACTTCAGGCTCACAAGGGCTAGAACCCAGAGCCGTAAATTAAATCCGTTATAAAAAAAGGATACATTAGCTTCCCATTTATTACAGGCGTATATAACTATTACCCAATGGACTGCAGCAGTGTTTTAGCAGTACTAGCTCTATGCTTATCGCCTGGTGATAGAGTATTGGATCTGTGCTCTGCGCCAGGGGGCAAAGCTCTAGTTGCGCTCCAGACGTTGCTTCCCGACATTATCGTTTGCAATGATGTTTCTATATCGCGTTCTAATAGGTAAGCTTGTCAGATTGTTTGAAAGAACAGTAAAAAAAATATAAGAATTTTCTGTTCTTAACTCATGAAGGAGTAGTAAAATCCATTATTTTATCTATACATATAAATAAAATTTAAGTGTCTGTCTGTAATGTTAAAATAACTGGCTTCTATTAACCTAGGATATTTGCATTTAAAATGTACGTCTGTCTGTCTATCTGTCCGGACTAATCGTTGGAATGACTTTACAGACAGGAGTATTTCCTATCCATTATACTGTTAAGTTAGCCTTCGTTGACTATTATCTGAGTATCTGGGTAGTATCTATAGTGCAAGATCTAGATTATGGCATACGCTCTCTTTGGAAAAGTATATGATTGACTCTATAATTGTCGTTCTAAAAATATTGCATTTATTTAAGCGTCAATAGCGTCACGATATAATTTTACCGATAAATAATTACAAAGTAATCTAAATTAATATTGTATAGGTAATAAGCATCTAAAATATAACCTTTATTAATTATTAATATTTTCAGGATAACAAAAATATTCCGCGACTATTTGATAGACTATGAAACTAGCAACAAATGGCGGGAAAGAGTGCTGATTTCCCGCGTTGACGGTCGTGTCTTCACAGACGACTATGGCTTCGATAAGGTAATTTTAATATTTATTTTTTCTTAAAATCTTGTTTCTACTTTAGAAAGGAATAATAATTGTCCCAAATAAATATTGTGATTGTGTTTTCTTTACTTTGAATTTGTCTTTGTGAGATATTTGTACTATATGTAAAGTCGAAAAAAATTAGATCCCTAATAACGGGGTTCTTGATTTGATATTTGACATTTCATGTTTTGGGAGATTTTGGGTGTGTGCGTTCGTATTCACTTTCGTATCTGCGTGTGTGCACGCTTATTTAGATTTTTAATCCCAGTCCCGATTTGTGTAATGAATGTATTTGATATCTTTTATGTCTATTTATTTAAATTATTTGAATATTTAAAGGTATTGGTAGATGTGCCCTGTACGACAGATAGACATTCGGTGAACGAGGACGAAAACAATATATTCAGGCCGGACAGGGTGAAGGAGCGCCTCAGGATACCAGAGCTTCAGACACAGCTTTTAGTGTGAGTCTTGTATAACAGTTAACGTATTCCAGTTATAAATTAAATTATTGTTTATGTTGAATGCCTTATACTCGTATATAGAGTGAAATTTATTATCGACTAAAGGCGTGTGATTGGATTTGTTGTGCACTATGAGCTATGAGCTCCAGACTCTTGTTTTGTAGTAGTGATATAAGAGGACCCGACGCACCACCCTGTGGCATCCCTTGGGTTTCGTTAGAGGCGACAGAGGGAAACTGAAACAGGAGATGGGCACCAGTATCTTCCTGATAACAAGGCAAAATAATAAATGCAGATTAGGAGAATTTTCGGAACAGCATTGTGTACAACAGTCTTTATAAAGATGTCAAAGAAAATGTAGTATACCCATGGGTTCCTAACTCGCTCATAAGCTTGTATCGCGCTGTTCACTTTCGATCCGACATCTTACTTCCACTACTGCTACCCTCAATGACCTGCTGCTGGCCAAAATCTAAACTTCTTGTTCTTCATCATCAGCTATTAAAAGTCTGGACTGGAAATGGGCCTCTCACTATAGCTATGTAATGTTATAGGGAGGATTTGCATTAACCGTCACGCTTGGTGGGCGATCACAGTACCAGACGTTTCGTACTTTTGACGCTGCTTCCCGTCGCCACACAATTATTTGTAGGCCATACAAATACTTGTTCCGTGCAGGATTCGAACCCGAACTCTAAGGGGTGATAGAATCTTGTACGTTACCATCACACTGCACTGCAGGGAACTTATGTTTGTCACTATTTTATTAGTGATTTAAAATATGATTTTATTTTATTTTATTAGCCCCCTGGAGAGTGTCATATGGATTATCACATATATCCTAGCATTAAAATAGAATATGTATATAAAAGTGCTAAGATCTGTATAGTGTGTATTAAAGTTCACTAAAGTAGTGTGACCTTGAGTTTCCTCATACGGCCAGCAGTGGTTCTTAACTGCTGGCCGTATGACGAAACTCAAGGTCGCGCAGCGAGCTATAAAAAGGGCTATGCTCAGGATTTCTTTGCGCTTTGGGTTTTTTTTTTATATTTTTTATTTTTATAAAACATTACCTACACACTAGGATTTTCACCAGTATCGTGGGGGCAGTTTACATTCATAAATTTCACAAGGACAAACATCCAGACTCGGAACAATTATTTGTAGGCCATTCAAATACTTGTTCCGTGCGGGATTCGAACCCGCGGTCTTAGCGTTGTGACTCATCGCTAAGCCACTGCGCAACGGAGCCGCCAAGAAATGTGGATATCCGCAGTAGAACCAGAGTAACCGACATAGCCCAACGGAGTGGTCGGCCATATAGCTTGAAGAACCGACAACTGATCAGGAAGAAAGGTTCTCGAGTAGCAACCTCGTACCGGAGAGCGAAGTGTAGGGCGGCCCCCTCACTAGATGTAGTAAAATCTTGTACGATATACAGTTAGTCGATGGATGCAGGTAGCTTAGGACCCTACTTTGTGGTGTTCCTTGTGAGTCCTATGTTCCGTGGGGGACTTGTGAAGGGCTGTAATGATGATGAAAGTAGTGTGAATACTAGTCAACTGATTTTTAATCGGATAAACGAGTGTACAACGGGATGTAATTACTGTTACAGGAACGCGCTAAGGCAGGTGAAGGTGGGCGGGGCGGTGGTGTACTCGACGTGCTCGCTCAGCCCCGTGCAGAACGACGGCGTCCTGCACACGGCGCTCAAACACGCCTTCGAGACCTACCAGATCGTTGCCGTCGTCAGGTCGGTGTTTCATTCCTACAGGAGTTTATTGAAAACATATCTGACAGAACTCACAAGGGCAACTTTATGTAAAACCTTTGTCATATAGTAGAAGAGCTTGTAATATTAAGCATGTTGGCGAAGGGATTGATGATCATTTTAGCAGTATGCATTGGAGGCGAATTGGTTAGAATTTAAATAAAAGGTATACTTTATTCAGCGAAAAAAACTCAGCAACTCACGAGCATACTCAACAAGGCACCGCGAGGAGTTAAGGATGTAGGACTTTTGTCATGATTTTAAATGTGATGTATAATACTGTTACGAGTGTAACTAGTGTTGCCATGAACAAAACATTAATAGTGGCGCGCAACAATACGTTGAGAAAAGAAAATAAGGACATTCTCGATTCAACTAATTTTTTTTTGTTACGCGACATCTTCGTCAATTGTGAACCGATTTCAATTATTCTTCTCTATGAAATAAGTTATTCAGAGGTTATCGCTTAAAAATTTGTAGGAAAATTGAACATCAAAGTGTGAAAAATATAATATATAGGTTTTCATTTGTGATTGATATTCGCTAGCTTAACTAAGTCAAGGCTATAATTCTTATATACACTTCTTAGCACGAACTTCAGAGGATAGTGTGTGGAATACATCATTATATTCGATTCGTATCTAGTTCTTTGACGGTGGTTTTGCTTTGTATAAATAGTTTAATTTTCTACATACATGGTTAATTTATTTGTAACAGAGTTAAACTGAGTTACTCAAGGGATACAAAAGAAGGCAACAAAATATGTGTATAATCACCTCAAGGCTTAAGAAAGAATGACATATAGCCTGTTAATATATATATGTAGCTTTGTATGCTCAGCAGAGCTGGACAGTATTTCATGCCGGCGCACCGCTTGTAACTTTATAAGGCGCAAGTTCGTCCTCACATAGAATACTGTTCCCACCTCTGAGCCCAACACCCTAGTACCAGCTCCTTCCACATAACCGCATCCAGCGCAGAGCGACTCGAAGCGTCGATGACCGAGTTTCTGATCAGCTCGATTCACTGGCGCTGCCAAGGGATATGGCATCCCTTTGATTTTTCTATCGTACTTACTACGGAGAGTGCTCTGAGGAATTGTTCGAATTAATTCCAGCCGCCAAATTTCACCAACGCACATTGCGATAAAACTTACGTTACCATCCACATCATCTGGATACTTGGCGGTCCACTACTATGTGATTTAATTAGAGTTTTCTTCCTCCCACGACTACTTTGTGGAATCCTTTACCACGGGCGATTTTTCCAGACCGATACGCCTTGGGTACCTTCAAGAAACGAGCTTAGTCCATTTTAAAAGGCCAGCAACGCACCTGTAATTGACCTGGTGAAGCAGTTGTTCATGGGCGGCGGTCGATACTTACTATCATGCTAGCCGCATGTTTGTCCCTCTTCTACAAAAAATATACATATCTTTTATTGAAATCTGCAAAAATGGAGCCCTAACACATAAATCAATTTATATCATCATTAGTCCTTGCTGGAACCTGGGTGTTTCTCAAATCGGAAGGATTTACCGTAACCATTTTGTCTGGCAGACTCGCATTTTGACGCTATTCTGTCTTCTCGCAGCCTATCAATAGTTGACTGCTTAACATAGGCCTCTCTCATAGATTCTTTTTATTAACTTGTAAATTGTACATTTTTTAACAGAACTGACGTAGGCACATTTCATAATATTCTATCCCAACCAAATGACGACGATGCGAAAGTTCTGTTCGAATCCATGGCCCACGTAGTATAAATAAGTATTAACTAACGTTTGACGGCTCCGTGGCGCAGTGGCTTAGCAATGAGATATTGCGCTAGAGGCCGCGGGTTCGAATCCCGCTCGGAAAAAGTATTGTATGGCCTACAAATAATTGTTCCGAGTCTGCATGTTTGTTCTCATGCAATTTATGTTTGTAAATTGTCTCCACGATACAGGAGAAACTCCTAGTGTGGTGGTAACGTTTAAAAAAAAACGTTATATGAGTAAGTGATGTATGTTAGGGTAGGATGGGACTGACATACATAACATGAATAAAAAAAATTGCACATTTAGACCAAAGAGACAAATTCTCCCTGTACCACATATGCAGTGGACCGTTACGAAATGTGATCGACGACAAGCCTTTTTTAAACCAATATAAATGTTTGATTAATTGCTCTCAATAGTAAGTAGAGATTATTTCGACTGGCAGATTTGCTCTATCATATATTGACAATATTCATCCTGTGTTAGCCAGTTTATACAATTAAAGTTGGTAAAAATTACCTTGCGTACATCCGTTCGATAAAATAAAATGTGTCTTACCTAGTTTGAAGAGCACCTCCCGCCCTCCCTCAATTGCGTGCACTATCACCGTCATCACTAATCCCAGCACCACTACTCCCATACATCACTACTCCCATATACCACTACACTAGGAAAGACACACCACTTACGACAATACGACACGTGTTTCGCCTCTACACGAGGCGTCTTCAGGTGATGTAGACTGCGATGGCTGACTGCTAAGTAATGCCTGATTTTATTAATTAGTTTATACAATAAAGTAAAAACCGACTTCAAATTGCCAAAAAAGAAGTTATTTATTTGTTACCCTTAGGGGTGGAATTTTTTCTCCAAATTTATATGGTCACCCTTGAAGTATAAACTATTTTAAAACAAAATAATGTTTAAAATCGGTTCTCAATCTGCGAAGATATCATATGAAATACCTTCAACAATAGTCCAATATGAAAATTGTTCCCCCTATTTTTCACCCTAGGGGGCGGAAGTTTTTTTTTTTAATTTAATGGGACCACCCTTGAGGTAAAGATATTTAATAAAAAAAGAATTACTAAAATCGGTTCACAATCTGCGAAGATATCGCGTAGCATAGCATTCATACATACAAAAAAACATACACACGAATTGGGCACCTCCTCCTTTTTGAATTCGGCTTAAAAACAACGGAAAGTACTAGTAGACTTCTATTATAATCGGCCATCATTTGACCATCAAATTAAGGCCAGAAACTAAAGTTGACTAAAGTTACAGCCTATATACAACGCAGTAATGTTAAAAAATGTGTTTACAGGGACTTGTCGGCGTCAATTACTGGGTTAAGCAGCACGCTTCATCTGGGTACGGATTTATCCAAACCGCGTTATGGACAGCTGGTGGTGCCATCCGTAGCTGCCAACTTCGGCCCCGCCTACATCGCACGCCTCGTCAGGGTCAAATAATTGAGACAATTTTAAGCCATGAAAGCTTTAAACCAACATAAGTCACGGCAACGGTGGTTAGTAGGTTTGATATTGGTAATCAATCGGCTCGACTGGTACTGCTTTACAAGGTAGATTCGACTACCCCCCGTGAAATATTTCCAAACATGAGCATTTAAGGCTTAATTGGAGTTATCAATAGAAATCATATTTAATAGCGTGGCTAATATGGTTTTAAAAAAGAAACTAGAATGCATCTCCCTACCAAAAAGCAAAAATTACTAATTTAGTAATTTTTCACAAGTAATTATTATATATAATAGTTAATAACATGAATTTATTAATAAATGTTTGTAAGAGCCTTGTCCTGTAATAGCACTTGTTGCTATCGTGATGCTTATTCAATCTAAGACCTTAGTTAAACGATTGTATTTTTGGCAGTGTCTTCCCGGCTTGCCTACAGTTAACTAGATTTTTCTAAAGCTGAGCGTGCTGATTAGTGAAGTAATTACGTACCATTGAACGAACGTTACCAAAAGGGATCGGTATGATCGGTTCCGGCGCTATAGCGACCAGAACAGATCCTCTGCTGGCCAGTTCATCTGCTGCGTCGTTGCCCCTGGATCCACTGTGTTCCTTGATCCATTATATCAAAATTTAAAACTTATAAAGGATAATTTTCAATTATTTGATACAGGTCACATGTCTTTCGATTATCTCGTTAGTAAAAAAACAGAACCTCTAAATATCTATGTAAATAGCTTTAATTAATTTTTAAAAGCACTGTAAATGTAAAAACTTATAAGATGTGAGCTTTAAACTATTTTGATTATTCTGTGTGTGATATTTTTCATTGCTTTGACTGCTTATCATGAGGTCCCGGGTTCGAATTCCAAGTCGGGCCAAAAAATCAGTTATTGAGTTTTTTCATCAAGAAATTCTCAGTAGCTGCCCAGAGTCAGGAAGTTGGCGGTGTCTCACCCACATGCCTCGGAAAGCATTTAAAGCCGTTGGTTCTGCGCCTGATCTCTCTCCGGTCTTGTAGGTTTACCATCCCATCTACTATGAGAGTGAGGAAATAGAGAGTGCATCTGTGCTTGCGCATACACTCTGGCTCTATAATCCTGTCCTGCGCCGATGGCTAGCCTCCGTTTAGACTGGCCGCCATGACCGAAATTCGGTCTGGAGGATATTATTATTATTATTATTATTCATTGTTGTAATTAAGATAAATATAAGGAATAATAAAAAAAAAATAAAAAGTTACATTTTTTTTTAAATACACATACAATGTTGTAATATTTTTATTTATTAGATAAAAAATACATATAAACCACATACATTTTAATACGTCATTAAGTAGGTACATAGCTTTGGTAGGCAGTCTCAAAAATAGTACCAACAGATCAAATATATTAGTACAAATACGTAAAAAAATTACATTTAAAGCGTATAAATACAAACGCTAAAAGTAAATATGATCGGCCTTACCCATAAAAATCGATGTCAATTTATGAAGTGCTTAAAGTTGTTCCCTCTCTTTTCATTAAACGAAATTAGAAAGGGACATATGTAAATAATACTTATTTAAGCGACAATCAACGACAATGTGTAAGGCCGTTCAAATAAGTCTTTCACACCAAGTCTTAAAGCTACACTAGAGTTACTTGCGTAATAAGCCGCCTTATACGAACTAGTCAGACACAAAAATATAGTGAACTTCTGTACATACCGTTACCGTGTAGTGGCGGTGTAAGAATATCCACTACCCAACTACCCAGAATACCACACACCCCATAATATTATCCCGTAGCTGTCGTAGAAGGCGACAGAGGGAAACAAATCGGGAGATGGACAGCAGCGTCTTCCTAATAACGACTAAAAATAAAAACTGTGATTGCCAAGCGCGACAACTATGAAAAATATCCCCCCTATGAGGCAATCTACGGGGGAGGCCTGTGTTCAGCAGTGGGCTTTAATAGGCTGTAACGGTATGTACATACCTTACTAATTATTAAAAAATATTATTATTAAAGTACTGCAGTAAAACCTAAAATCCAAAGAAATCTGAGATGTAAAATAGTCTTTTATTGAGATTTTAAATTTGCATACAATAATTTCATAAGTTAATATTGATATGATATATATGTATCAGGCATCTTAATTAATATTCTTTTTATAAAATCAGAAAGTAAAAGTGTATTTATGTTATAAGAATATTCCAATAATCAGAGAATTTATTCTCATTACTTTACCGGTTCAATGCGGATGACACGCCAGGCGTGCCATCGATTACTTTTGTGTGGCGTATGACACGCGAGACGTGTTTTTTTAAATCGTTATAACTCGCTCAAATTGCGTTTTCGGAAAATTTATCCAAAACAAAATATTCATTATTTTGCAAGTACTTCATGCGTACAGCTCCGTTTCTGGATATTTTAAAATTTGAGATTTTTAGGGGTTGACAACATTTTTTAACTTGTACATGGTACTCTTTTTACTTTGTGGGTTTTAAATCATGTTGTTGAAAAATAGTCTAATAAGTAACAAATAATAGCACTCATAGCGATCGCTCACAAACTCAAGTTGTAAATAAATTTCTGGAAAACAAGTCTCCTGTTAAAAAAAACAATGCGTTTGTCTTATTGTTTAATTTTGCTTAAAATGGTTGAACTGCCGTCTTATTACTATCATATGGCCGAATAGACCTACGAAGTACCATGTGCTCTTGTGATATGGTATAAGGTTTACTTTTGCTTGAAACGTTTTGAAACCGTTCAGGCATAAAAAAAGTTCGCTAATAAATAGTCTTTTGTCAATCCACCACCGTATAGCGCCGGCGTTTGTTTCCTTTTGAAAACACTTGTTTTGCTATTCTTACTAAAGACGTTTTCAAATCTACTTTACTTTTACATTTTTATAACATTAAATAATATTTAACATTTGTAAATATTAATGAATCATAAACCTTATTTTTTTCCAAATTAAGGTTCTTGATTGTTTGATATTTACAAATATTATTATTAGGTGAAAATTTAATTTAATAAAAACCAAGGTTTTCGAGGGTGATTTAGCTGTACCTACTTATATAAATGATTTTTTTATCAAACAAAAAATAGTACAAAATGTTTGTAATCTCTGCATAAAAAAGTCACTTACTCTCAATTTCAAAGAAAACACGTAGAAAAACACGTAGTTACCCACTAAAAACAAGTATCCTTCCGTTTGTAACTGATGTTTGATGTCAACTAAACTTAATTAGGTCTAAACAAGTGAAAAAAGCATAAAAAAGATAATTATTTTTACACATGGCTGATGGCACAATAGGCGTGTCATGGTATATTTGTTCGCCGTCACAGCTAAAAGTAGTCGAAAATCGGTGCCGCAACGAATCTGTTAAAGCAACAGATAATAATTAAGAGTCAGGTTATTAAGTATGTAAGGGGTGACCACAAAAATGTACATGCAGTAGTGGAATACTACCCTCTTTTTCTTTTTCACACAACGATAACGAAAGGTTGTTAGATTTAAAAAAAATTAAGTGACACGACTAAGACATTTAGGTAATTGTGTAGTTTTATATTTTCCATATAAAGCCTGCTTATAAACATTAAATGAGAATATTTTAACTTTACGGAGGAAGGAAGGAGATGGCAAGGTAAAGACATGGAAAGAGCCCATGTGATGTGATTTGTGGAAGTAATATTTTAAAATCTACATTATTTATAATATGTAACCGAACCATCTATCGATTATAGTTTGAATTGAATTTCCTAATTTATTTATTTCGATTGTTATATGTATTATATATATATATATATGTATATATATATATATATATATATATATATATATATATATATATATATATATATGTATATATATATATATATATATATATATATGTATGTATATATATATATATATATATATATATATATATATATATATATATATATATATAATGTATTTGTATATTAAATATAAACGTTAGTGAAGTCAGTTCCTGTCATAAATATGTAGATATATATTTAATAGTAATTAGGTTTAACATTGTCACATTCTTTTAAAGCAATTTTTTTTACTTTTTCTTTTTGTAAAATTTATTATATAAACTGCCATCAAATAGTTAGTGATTAAAATAGTAATAAATAAATGCTATTAATCATGTATAACGTACTTAAATGCTGTATAAGTACATATCAGTACAAATCTCCGTTAATATAATATTTCATAATCGATTCTTACATAACGAGTATTCAGTCTATCTGCACATTATTGACTGACGAATAATCATCTCGTCCCTTAAAAAAAAATATCTCCTGTGTCTTGAAAGCGTTTTACATGTATAAATTGCACGTTAAAAACATCGAGACCTGTATTATTGTTTGAAGGCCATACAAACACTTCTTTAATGCGCCAGCAAGCGGTCATTACTGACGTAAGATTAGTGAATGAAAAAATGCGAAATCCCGTTCGTTCCGAAGTTGTTACTTGCAGCGGTTGTGCGATTAGAATTCCGCACGAAACAAGTCTGTCTTGGTATAGCTTTAAAAATTGTTTCATGTCTGGATGTTTGTTTGTTTGTAAACCTACTCTACGATACAGGATATTATCTTTTTTTAAATATTTTATTAAAATCCTTTATGGAGGTAATTCATTTCTAAAAAAATTAACAATTTTGACTAATGAAGATATAGTGATATGTGCAAATATACCTAAAATGCGAAGCCTAAAAATAATATGCTTACACAATATAATAATTAATAAAATATTTTATTTATTTATTATTATAATATTATAGACAGGACATTTCTTATCTTTAAATAGGGTGATGTGTATTTTTTTTAATTATACAATAAAAAAAACTAGCATTATTTTCACCTATAAAATATTTCTAATTAAAGTTATTGGCACATAGCGTGACATGCAAGTGACAGCCGCGAAACTATTAAGCGACAGTACCTTAATAGTACGCGTATGGCTGGGTGCGGACCGCGAACTGAAAAGGTCGTGGGTTCGAATCCGCCATTCGTAAGCATTTAAACGTCCAGAAGTGGTTACAGTGAATATTAGTAATGTGAATGTGAATAGCATTGCTAGTATTAATAAATTAAGTATATGCTTAGAAAGCGATCTCCGATTTTATAATATAACATCAAATTAATGTTACGTCCAAGGAAAGTTATTGAAGCTAAATGCTGTATTGAGTATGATACAGTTCTAAAGTAAATTTTAACTACGTTTTATAATTTTAAGTAAAAAAAAAATGAGTTTCAATAATTTATAAAAATAAGTACATAGCAACAATTTTTGATGCCCTAAGCATATTTTTAGTCTTAGTTGATTTAGTACAAGGTGTTTTTTTTATAGGATAAGAGTGACAAACGAGCACACAGTCCACCTGATGGTAAGTGGTTGCTGGGGCCCATAGACATCTACATCTATCCTCGTTTGCGAATCAAAATGCAGATGCGTTATCACCCGTGAGGACTAAGATGAAATGCCTCATTTCCAGTAAAAAGGGCCTCCGGCCACCTGCACTCACCAAGCAAAACGCAGAGGTAAACCTCTACTTCACGCTGGTATTCTGTGAGGTCGTGGTACCACCCCGGTTCGAGCCGCCCCATCCATGCGACAGCAAAAGATGCCGCGTGGCTCTACCACTGTTAACGTTATTCGATTTTCTCATACTTAAAACTGAAAATTATTAAACATTATAAAACGCCCAATATTTAAGTAAACAATGTTTGAGCAAAAAACAACATAGTTTAATCAACCGTATTTTTGTTGTTTAGACACGAGTCTTTTCGGTTTCCTTGTTCAGCGGTTTCTTTTCGGCGTTTTCTTCAACGTTATTTTGGGGCAGATTGTTCCAGGGCTGCTGCTCGCCGGAGCCGAACAACGTGTACACGAATATTTCCACGATGTACAACCCTATTGTCACGAAGAATATCACACGCCATGCCGATATGGTTTGCTGGAAAGAAGACAAAAATTAGTGTGCTATATTATCACATGAAAACCTTACTGGCTTATAATAAATCATCTGGGTGATTAAGAGAATATATTCCAAATTTAAATAATGTATTTTTAAAAGTTAAAAGATTAATTTTAATTGTCTATTATAGTATCAGTTGTTTGGTAATGACATTTAATTTTGGTCTGTGTTCTAAAATGGATTTTATAAAATACAAAACATAGGTTACTTAAGTTTTTCCTAAAACACTTGAAGAAGTACTATATGTACCATTAAGTCTATGGAAATTTAGAAGAAGACTTCATGATATCAATATTAGTTATCGCCCGGCTCGGGACTTTTAACTAAACTGTGCGTTCAGGACTCAACTGGATCGAAGTGGGTAGAATTTTCATCCCAATAGAAGCCTTGAATTTAATATTAATATCACATCTCAATCGATGGTTTTATAAGAGCTTCTAAAATCTGAAAATTTATACTAGATTTCCTGAAACTGCCACATGGAGTAACTTCGGCAATTATCTTTTATCCACACTTACATTTCCATGTGTCAGCACTCCAACAAAAATAGGAACGACGATACCCGGGATAGTTGCCACGGTGTTTGTCAGAGCCATGAGAGTGCCTGTAAAAAACACATATTTTTCAATATCTAGGCAGATAAGTATATTTAAGTTACTATACAATCTACAAAATACATCCATACTTATATTTAATATAAATCAAGTCCCATCAGCAGCTTCTTTAAATCTATTGTTGAACATAGGCCTTTCTTAGATGTGCCAGCTGGTGTTACAAAAATATTTGCCAATACGCCCGACTCTAAACAAGTAGAGTGCTGCTGTTCATACCCAGTCTGTGACAATTGGGATCTGCGTTTCTTAATGTATTTTCTGTCATCAGTCGATCATCAGAACCTAGTTAATCAACCGTTAATCAACAGTCGCAACGCGTGCAGCGAGGTCGGCATTTGAAAGAAAGTTAGCTTATTACCGCTTAGATACCACAAAAGTAAAAATATAACTTATATATGTACGTCCCACTGTCGGTCACATGCCACCCCTCGTATTTGAGAGAATTTTAAGGTAACAAAATTTCCGCCGTGCTGCCCCAATGTATATTGGCGGACTTCACATGTCCTTGAAATATATTTTTATTAGTTTCATTTAAACATGCAGGTTTCCTCCTGATGTTTTTCTTCACTGACGAGGGTAAATCATTACTTAAAATTGCAGTTACTAATTTCAGACTGAGATCGACCCCGGTTTGCTCGTGCACTGTTAAATTTACAGCGAACTTAGTCCATGAGTCATCCCATAAAATACATATATTTCAATATTATCTGGCTCGAAGGACCACCTTGGTTTACATAATTAAATAGAATATACTTTAACCAATTCTACGACATAATTTGAATAGAACTATTTCTTTTATATTTTATTGCGTTTAATTCCATAAAATAGCCGTAAAAATAGTTTTATTCAATACTAGCTGTTCCCCGCGACTTCGCTCGCGTTTTAGGGTTTTTATGTTTTTGCGCGGAACCCTAATTCTTTTTCTAAAATAAAAGTAGCCTAAGTTACTTCTTATGAAATCAGCTATCTACCAGTGAAAGTCCCGTCAAAATCGGTTCAGCCGTTTCGGAGATTAGCAGGAACAAACAGACACTTCAATTTTATTTATTTGTATAGACAATATTACAGCTTTTTAAATTTAATATGCAATGACTTCTTTGAATTTATTTCAGGAATATTCTAAATTTTACTAAATTCAGTCCAAAACCTTATCACTTTTGATCAGATGTATTTTATGTATTGTTATTGTACATTCTATTATTACTACTCCATCAAAGTCTTACCGGCAAAGTTAGGCGCGATATCGATGTGGTTGGAGAGGAAGCCGCAGAACATGCCTCCAATGCCGGTAACGCCAATCGCCATCAAAGCCACAGCGGCTCCGCGGTTGCAGCCTATATAGCAAAGTGCCAGAAGACACACTGCTGGGACGGCTGATGCTGGAACAGTCAACGTTACATTTTAATCGTTTAATAACCGCATAAATCAATTTAATATGTCAAATATATCAAATGTAACACTTTCTCATTTATAGACAATAGTAGATACCTCTCGCATCTTCGACTGCCCCCTTCCCCTTCTCCCTCGTCGGTCGGAGTATTTTAGATAAGTGTGTCTTAAACGAGATGGTTATACTGCCATATAACGGAAGTCATAAGATTTTTCTATCATTACTTAGTTTAGGGCAATAGTAATTAGTCTTCCTTGTTCAATTATCAATTTATTGCTTGTTATTAATCAACTGGTTCATCGTTATTACGTCCATTCAAAAGTCCAGCGCTGAACATTCCTACTCCATGGACTGCCACAAATCACAGTCCTGGGTTACTCCATCTAGTGAGGGACTGCCCTACACTGTGCTTGCTAATACGTGGCTACCACTCGAGTAACTTTGTAATCAGATCGACTTATGGCCACCTCTTCAGCTTACTGTTCATCATCAATTACTTGCCTCAAATGAATCATGAGTCTGAGAATCTTACCAAACAAAGTGCCGATCTTCCTAGCGGTAGTTGTTGTGATGATGTTCTTGCCTCGCAGCCAGTCCAGCGTCCTGCTCAAACCGATACTGAAGAACCAAAGCGACAGGAATGGCAGAGACGTTGTTAGGGCATTCTGTAGTACAAGTCAAAAATATTTCATCCACTATAGGCTTTAGGTTTTTTTTTATAGGATAGGGTGACAAACGAGCACACAGTCCACCTGATGGTAAGTGGTTGCTGTGGCCCATAGACATCTACATTTATCCTCGTTTGAGTTTAATATGTTTAAGTTAAAATGTAGATGCGTTGTCACCCGTGAGGACTAAGATGGAATGCGTCTTTTCCAGTAAAAAGGGTCTCCGCTTCTCTACACTCACCATACGAAACACAGCAGCATTAAGCTGCTATTTTACGCTGGCATTCTTTGAGAGCGTGGTCCTTCCCCGTTCGAGTCGACCCATTCGTGCTACAACTATACTACTAATATAGCTGAAGCATGGCTCTACCACGTATGTTGATAATAACCGGCAAAATAACTCGCGTCGTTATTTTTCTTTTGTTTAAAAATAATTGCATTTATAGTATTCATGTATTTGCAGTGTATGATGCTATGACTCAAAGACATCTACATCTATCGATTAAGAATCAAAATGCAGATGCGTTGTCACCCGTGAGGACTAAGATGGAATGCCTCGTTTGCAGTAAAAAAGGTCTCCGGTTCTCTAAACTCACCATACGCAAGATAGCAGCATTAAACTGCTATTTCACGCTGTACTCTCGAGAACGTGGTCGTTCTCCAATTGAACCAACCCATTCGTGCTACAATCATATTATAGCTGCAGCATGTCTCTGCTACGTAGATTACACAGTAGTTATGTTTTAAATAGCACATGTAATGTAATGGTAGTCGTGCACTGACCTCGGTCATGTTGAACTTGAGCACTTGCTTCATGTAGAAGGGCAGCTCGATGAGCAGCATATACCAGCCCCAGTTGGAGCAGACGTGAGCCACCAGGATGGCCAGGAAGGCGGGCGACGTGAGCGCGGCGCGCCACGGCATCGCCAGCTTCTACACCAACAACATTCGTGTTTCTTACAGAATACGAGAAACAAACGACCACACAGTCCACCTGAAGGTAAGTGAATGCTGTGGTCCGTACACATCTTCATTTATCCTCGATTAAGAATTAAAATGCAGATGCGTTGTCAGCCCTGAGACGTGAGAACTAAGATAACATGCCTCGTTTCCAGTAGAAAAGGTCGCCGGTTCTCTACACGTAACACAGCATAGTTAATTGATGTGGTTAATTTTACGCTTGTATTCTGTGCGAACGTGGCCCTTCCTCTCTCGAGCCGAGCAATTGGTGCTACAACTATATAATATAGATGCAGCATAGCTCTACCACGTGTACTTATTGCTATAATTCTTGCAATGAGGGCTATTAATCTTACGTTCACCAGATGTCGCTAGTTGGAAATAAGGTAATCTTATTGTTACGCATATGGTCACACAGTATCATTATCATTGAAAAGTTCGTTTTAAATAAAAGTTTTTCGGTTTCTAGTGAACATATAATATATTATATATATATATATATATATATATATATATATATATATATATATATATATACACAAAACAATGCCTCAGTGCTGTATTCTTTAATTTTTTACATTTTTTTAACTATTCTACGTTTAGGAATATCCGTAGTTTATCCGTTTCTAATCTAATTAATATAAAATATAACTAATGTCTCAGAAATAAAAACATTAATCTCTACATTTTTCTAACAAATTTACATCTTCCGCTATGAAGATTTTCAAAAATTTCACCTCAATCCAAGTGGCGCCGCCCTGGTGGCTAAAAAGTTCGTGGGTCATTCCTATTGAAGGAACGTCAACTGTATTAATTATATTACAATGAAATGCGTTTTTTTAGATTATTGAAGTGTACGTAGTTAATCTTTATTTTTAGTTTTCCATTTGGAAGTTTTTGTAAAAAGTCATATATTTGCAAGTAAAATTTTAACATATTACGTTTTGAGGTTCTTTAAGTCCGATTCTAGTGTTCTTAAAAAGATAGTAGACATGAACAAACGTAAACATATTAAACTTTTTCTTTTGCATATCTCGACGAGAAATTAATGTCATAAAAAATATTTGTATTATATAAAGATTACTAACAAAACAATCAAAACCAAAAATGGGAAGGACTCCGCGACTCTCCGCTTCGGACTCGAGGTGTCAAATTATGACAGAATCCTGCTCACTACGGTACGCGGTAGAATGCCAAGAACGTACGCTGCGTTTCTTCGTCGAACAGCTTATACTGAGACTTCAGACGAGAAAAAAAACGCATATTACATTTTAATGAATTTTCGTTTGTTAAATCTTTGTTTTTTACTTTTTCCTACTTTTTTTTTAAATAGTTTAAATAGAAGCATATGAGCACAGACTTGCGCTAAGAATAAAGGCAGTGATTGCGTCAAGTGGAATATGAATTGTACCTTATGCTCGGAGTGATCATCGGTCTTCCCGCCTAGCGAGGTGACGATCATCTCCCGCTCCTCTTTACTGATGAGCGGCTGCTGCTGCGGCGAGTCCCGCACCAGCGCCACCCACAGCACGCACCACGCGCACGACAGCCCACCCATCACGTAGAATACGCTCTCCCAACCTGATCATACAAAACAATAGAATCATTTTTATTCAATAAAGATTAAAAGAAAACATTAAAAGTCATTTAATCTGTACCATTGGTTCGAAATAAACCTCTGTCCTGGAAAGAACCAGCAAGTAACCCAGCGGGACTTTTTTGACTTACCTATAATATTTTATACAATTAGTATGAGAACATTTATTTTAGATACAGCATGGTAGTAAACAATTAATGCTTAATAAAAATTTTAACTTTTGATAGATAAGTCCTGCATATTTTATGGGACTTCGCTCCATAAAGGAATTACTCTTTGGGAGCCGAATAATTGTTAACATAGAGATGTTATTTGTCTTTCATACACACAAAAAACAAAAACATGCTGACATTTTTGGAATTCCAACTCAAACTTATTAGGAAACGGAAATTTCATAGTAGGACCGATATTCCGAGCTCTCCCAAATATATTACGATCGCCATTCATGTCAAGCATATGACAGCAAATCCCAACTTGGGAGAAACATTTGTCCAACAGTAGACGACTGTCATAATCGTAATTTGTTTATACACATTAAGGGAAAAGATCATATTAAAAAGTATACGCAACTATATGAGTAAACAAAGAGTAAAGTAAGTAAAGACTGCAAATACACATATTACAAGAGTGGTAGATATTAGTGGCTTTCTAGATTGCAAGTTTATTGACGATTGCAACAATATGTTAAAATAGATTACTCACCCAATGTAGCAGTGAGAACACCAGCCATGAGCATTGATATGACAGTGCCCAATGAAGTTCCCGCGTAAACGAGCGCCGCCATTACACTGCGCTCGGCGGGTGGCGCCCATTTTGATAGCAACACATGCATTGCGGGGAACGTCACACCCTGACAAAATGAAATTTTAGATGGAGTTTTTATGAAATGATCAACTTTAAACCCAGTGTCTAACTGCCCTCTGCTTCTAACGTTTTTGATGATCATATATTCAACACGTTTACGGTGCTGTGTGAGTCAATGTGAACTCGATAATGGCACCATTGAAGTAAAAGGTACTTAATATTTCAATGGATGGCACTAACTTACTCATTATAGTATACTAGTATAGTATTTAAATAATTGTAAAGTAAGAGTAAGGAAGCTAAGATGTGTGTAGGTCGGCTATTTATCTCGAAGAACAAACAACTCTTAGAGAAGAATAGTTTGTACTGGAAATAGACAACCAATGAGGAAGAACGGCTCTAAGTTCCCCCATCCTATCCCGCGATATCGCTGTTCTATTCAACTGTCGACTAAATCCTAAGAGACAAACGAATTAGTGACTAGCCACAATGAGCGTCACTTTAAAAAAGATTAATCCATTCAGATCTGCCAGGTCGTAGAAACTCTTTTCTGCCTATCTAGGTAGCCACCACTCAGGTATACATTGACTGAAACAAATTTTTACAGATTTTATGGCATTTAATTTATCAATGCTTTATATTTCTGACGTTTCGAGCTCTTTGCAGCTGGACGTTGAATACCCGAGTCCGAGGGGACTGAGGTATTACACAGTGACCATCGGTTTCTTTTGGCAGCTGGACCTCATTGCACTCAGTGACCATGGATTATATGGATATATATAAATAAAAAATATGGGAACAGAATCTCTTAAAGTTAGTTTCATTCAAGATGAATATTTGTTTTTCACCAAATTCCATCTTTGTCGTATGAGATCCTCATTGGAAGTTTATTGCTGTCTCTGTTCAACAGACACCATCAGTTCGACTGTTAGTATGTTTGTCACTTTCGTGATATAAAAAAGTCAAATTAATTCTAAAATGAATAATACTGTAAAAATTATGTAGGTCATGCTTTTTATATACAGGGTTATTTTCCAAAGAGTAGCCAAATTTTAAACTTAAGTTTAAATAAATAATGATATTTTATGAAAATAAGAGTAAATAAGGCTTCTACTTTTATTTGAAATTATCCCAAATTGAATGTGATTTATGGGCAATAACGTTTTTACTAACTGATCGACCCTTACGAATGTGTGCGTGCGCAGTAATAGCAGTTAACATAATGCATTACCATGCATTTTGAATTTAAAAGATAAAAAGGACAGAATTATTGAGATCTTTTGAATTAATTTTTCTTCACCATATGCCTATATTACTTATACTGTACCATCTCTGCAAATGTGGCCGGTTATTGCAAAATAACCCTATATACAAGCTTAAATCGCGTCTCACAAAAATAAGCAATCTTACGTAAAAATCTAATTACTAAAAATACATACCCCGCCAATGCCTTCACCAATTCTCATTAATACAACTGCGATATAGTGCAACTCTGCCATAACAGGTGTCAAAAGAGTGCACACAACGTTGATAGTTACACTGAAAAACATCACCCATTTTGCCGAAAACAGCTCTGCGACGCGGGCACCTGAAAGAAAACAAACAAACAATAAAATTTCCAAAGTGGCATTCTCGTACGGGTAATATACCTAAATATTTAAATCTCCTTGGTAATTTCCCAAGGAGATTTAAATATTTAGGTATATTAGAGTAATGGACGGCCAACTACATGGAGTGACGACCTAGTAAAAGCACAGAATAAATAATAGTACTACTTAGTAAAAAGTAAGAAGTCGATGGATGTAGATGTAGGTAGCTCAGGAGTCAGGACCGTGGTTTGTGGCATTCCTTAACATATTATTGCGTTTATACATAGCTAGGGTTGCCACCTTTTTTTGTACGATTTTTTAGAAAAAAGATGCAAAAATATACTTTTGAAAAATTCAGGAAAAATTAAAAAATACACATTTATTTTTAATCTTTAGGTATATTTCCACATATATATTTGTTATTGCTCTTCGCTTTGGCCATCGATGATTTATTACCTTTAAAATAATTATAGGAATCTGAGCAATTTAGATTGGTATTAAAATAAAGTAAGAATTAATTTTCAACCGACTTTAAAAAAGAGACGGTACTCAATTCGACTGTATGTTTTTTATGTGTGTTACCTTATAACTTTTTACTGGGTGAACCGATTTATATTCATATTTTTTTATTTGAAAACTGTTGCTTCACATGTGGTCCCATATAATAAACGTTGTTGATAAAGGTCTGACCAATAGTTTTTGAGTTATTCTTAATAATTTATATTGAAGTCGGTTGTACAAAATTTTAAATTATTAATTGTATTAATACATGCTTTATTTCTTTCTTCTTTCCATTTTACATTCATGACGGAACATTTTTTTCCATAAAACTTCCTTGTTCCAGGCTTCCAGTCACAATTGATATAAAAAAGAGTGACAGTTGATTTAGTGATAAGCATATAGTATTTTTGTATATGTATAGTACAATTGACTGAAATATAGTACGATACTATATATTATAGTACGGATGGCCACTGAATTAAAATTAAATCTGCATGGTTCAAGATTGGTGATTAAAAATTTTTTTTCAATAATTATAATATTATAATATATTGTTTGAATTTCAATTGCTTTACATTCAGTATTTCAGTTAAGTTTCAAAAATTAGAATAATTAGAAGAAAGAATATGATTAACCTTTAACATTTTTCGGATAATATACTTTAATGACGGACGAGCATACATACTAGAATTTTAAAAGGTACCTAAGGCGGGGGTGATAGCTAAGCGCATACCGCACAAGTGGTAAAATTAAAAATGTTGTACAATCGACTACAATATAAATAAAATGAGAACATCATCAATGTAGTCGAAATCAAATAAATACACATTATCAAGGATAACTCAAAAACTACTGGTCAGATCTTGATCAAAATAAGTAACCACATGAGAAGCACTAGCTTTCAAATAAAAAAAGAATCAATAAAATTGATTCACCTAGAAAAAAGTTCTAAGGTAACTCACATAAAAAATAAATTAAAAAATACAGTCGAATTGAGTAGGTCCCACCTCATTTTTTTTTGAAGTCGGTTAAAAATTCACAGTACGCGAGCAACACCTGTTCGATTCCCGCCTGCTTCAATGAAATAAAACAAAATAATATCAACGGTATTATGTTTACATATCTTTACTGTAAACTTTTAGTCCTGTAATAAGTATGATATTATTTTTAAATATAATGCTGCCAGTCCCCAAACGCCTGTGCGTTCAGAATGATAATATTTATAAACAGATACGTTTTTCACGAAGAAAGTACAATGTACAATGTACATTCCACACATATTTCTGCCACAATATGTATTTTAAACTAGATGCCTATTCGATTAGTTCATAGTCATTTAAAATGTCGTTAGAATATATTCGTCATCATAACGCGTATATACTATACATAATATTAGTAGGATTGTGATATCAAAATAGTTTACTTATTACAAAAATATATTAAATACTATCTGTATCTAGTCTCGAGGACTTTTCCCGCGTGTAATTTAGGGATTTAATTATGTTGCGCGGAACCCTAATTCTGTTTCTAAAATATAACTAGCCTAAGTTACTCCTTATAACATCAACTATCTGTCAGTGAAAGTCCCGTCTAAATCGGTCCAGCTGTTTCGGGGATTAGGCGGAACAAACAGACAGACAGACGGACAAAAAGCTGTTAGTTAATCATTGAAATCGGTTCGCCCAGAAAAAAGTTATGGAGGTAATACACATAAAAAAATACAGTCGAATTGAGTACCGCCTCCTTTTTGAGTCGATGTGAATGATTAATTAATTATTCGTGCATTACTTTTTAAGAATCATTTTTTTTTAATATTCGTATCAACATATATTAATTTATTTAACTCACCAGGTATTTGAGAAACAAAGTATCCCCAGAAGTAACAACTGAGGACGATGCCTTGAATTTCTGATGACCAATCGAAAGGGCCTTCAAGCTCCTGAAACAATATAAAACTATATAGAATTTATTTACAACTAAAAACATATTTTCCAAAGTGTATATATAACCATACATTATATTTTTCTAGACCACATTCAAAAATAAAATTTAGTTTAATTTTTTCTGGTTTACTTTTAAAAAATGTCATCATTTGTTGTTAAAAGTTAATAATTTTTATTTTAAACATGAAATCAGCACTTAAAATTGCAGTTAGAAAATAAATAACATTGGTGCCGGCGGGGATCCAACTCGGGTTGCTCGCGAATTGTGAAATACACAGAACTATCACGACTCTTAGAATTAAGAAAATACCTATTTATTCTATAGGCATTGAAACTTAATATAAAATAAATGTTATTAGTTTACAGGTCAAACATTATACGGATACTGTTCAAGTTCAAATGTAAGATCAGATATTAGAGTGACTACAAACAACTAATAAAATAATCCCAAAAAAAAATGTGATAAACGGGCCAAGTTGGCCAAGTTCAATACAAACGACTTCGGGCTTATTGATAATAGTTGAGTTGAGAACGTACGTAGATCCCATAGACTTAGAATATACTTACACCAGGGACGTAGCTACCACCGTATCAGCCGTATCAATGATACGGGGCCCCCGGGCTACAGAGGCCCCGAACGTATGTAAGCAAAAATTCTAAGGACTTCTATGGGACAGGATGTTGGTTTGAATTGTTTGGCTAGCTTAGTTCCTAGGAGTATTCATTGTAAGTAATAACTTATAATCAATATATAGTTATTTTAAATCAATGCGAGAGTTTTTGCTCCTTTTGTGAAAAATCTTTACCCTTCATTAGGGCCTCCCGACAAATTTTGATACAGGGCCCCTCTAAGGCACGCTACTCCACTGACTTACGCCAGTGTATTCTGCCTATGGTAGATCCTATGATTTGAGTAACAGCTATAAAACTTGACGTTCAGATCACAACTATTTATCACATTTTTTTTTTGTGGGGTACCAATAATTAAAAAAGGTTTATCCTTTTTTAATCTAAATAAATACTTGACATCCAAACTTTTCTCTTGCTTTTACGTTTTCCTGTTTGCTTTTTTAATTTGAACGATCAGAAATAAACGTCGACTTTATTGGTGGGCTTAGTTTAATTTACACAGTACTTGGAACTATAAACCGCACCAATAACTTTGTCGACACTATCGATACCAAACTCAGACTACAAAGAAAGATGTACATGTTAACATCAATGTACTTGCTTTTCAAGTGATGCCGAAACCATGGTCAACTTCTTGACGCCCACTCACGCACACATCTATCTTCTTTCTTTTTTATCAGCCCTTAAAATTTCACTGCTGAACGAGATGCATAATTATGTATGTGTACGTGAGTGCATGTTCTTACAATAAGTTGAACATGGTTTTTGCATCACTTAAAATGTACACAGTGCCCCGTTTTTCTTTCCTTGTTGGTGGACACCGAATAGATAATTTCAAGTTTTAAGATGTATTTCTATTTGTGCTCCTTATTACCTTAATATCAAATTTCAAGTTTTGACGTAACCTGGAAATGGCTTAAGTTTTTGATAAGTGAGTCAGTAAGTGGTAAAAACGACACTTTTCAAACCTTAATAACTCAAGAACTACAATATGTTCATTCATGTTCAATTTGAGATTTTGGGTGTTTAAGAAGACCTTGAGAAGAGAGCCGTGGTAGCTCAGGGGCTTAGCGCTCACGCGAGCAGACCGGGTTCGATCCCCGCCGGCACCAATGAAATTGTTAATTGCAATTTTAAGTGCTGATTTACCACGTGGTCAGCGGTGAATGAAAAGTCTGAGAAATAAAAAAAATGGAAGATATGTAAAAACCGCTAACATGCATTGGGGTAGCGCGTCGGGCACTTCCTTGCCCTAAAACCCTCTCAGAAGTATGAGGAGACCTGTACGCAGCAATGGAAGGTATATAGGCTGTAACGATTAAACGTGGTAGAGCCATGCTGCAGCTATATTCATTGTATTGTTGTTGCACGAATGGGTCGGCTCGACCGAAGAAGGACCACGCTCCCACAGAATACCAACTTAAAATAGCAGTTTAAAGCTGCTGTGTTTTGTATGGTGAGTGTAGAGAACCGGAGACTCTTTTTACTGGAAAAGAGGCATTCCATTTTAATCCTCACGGCTGACAACGCATCTGCGTTTTGATTCGCAAACGAGGATAGATGTAGAATGTCTATGGGCCATAGCAACCACTTACCATCGTGGACTGTGTGCTCGCTTGTCACCCTTATCCTATATATAAAAAAAAACTAACTTTATAAGGTCCTTACTATGTAAGCAATTGTGTAAGTCTCATTTTTGAGTTATGGGGCGTTTAAAAGTAGCTTGAAATGGTTCGTCAAATATATAAAAGGCGACACAGGTGGCGACGAAGGTGCGTCGCCCTTTTAATTCCCGAACCTGTATATTATGTAGACCCTTTATACCGGAAAAGACGCATTCTATCTTAGTCCTCACGGCTGACAACGCATCTGCATTTTCATTCGCAAACGCAGATAGATGTATACATATTGGAGATATTTATTTTACTATAATTGTTTGAGTAATTTTATTTTTAAAGAATAAGGGTGACAAACGAGCACACAGTCCACCTGATGGTAAGTGGTTGCTGTGGCCCATAGAAATCTACATCTATCCTCGTTTGCGAATCAAAACGCAGATGCGTTGTCACCCGTGAGGACTAAGATAGAATGCCTCTTTTCCAGTAAAATGGGTCTCCGGTTCTCTACATTCACCATACGAAACACAGCAGTGTTAAGCTGCTATTTTACGCTGGTATTCTGTGAGAGCGTGGTCCTTCCCCGGTCGAGCCGATCCATTCTTGCTACAACTATACTACTAATATAGCTGCAGCAAGGCTCTACCACGTATAAAAATCTGTATCATTAAACGTAAATATCCGATACAGAAACATAAGAAGACACAAAAGTGTTATTGAGGCAAATCTTATGTTATTCTGTCACTATAATCTACAATAAATTTTGTGTAATTCACACTAAAGGAACTTGATAAAACATCTTGATTATGAACATAAATTCACGTCATAGAAACTATTCTAGGAATTAACAAGGTATGACTAACAATATCTACCCATTCATTTTCAAGAAACTAAATTCATTTTTTCGCGATCACATGCAAAAATTCACGTACCTACTTTCCTATGTAATCTACGTAATTTTATGGATTTTATCGCGTATACTGAGATTTGAGACAATTTTTTGGAAATAGTCTTTGTAGATGTGCTTTCTCTAAATCTATTTTTAGCATAATTTGCCTTCAAGAATATACCCTATTCTTTTTTAAAGGTCGGCAACACGCCTGCAATTCCCCTGCTGTTACAGTTGTTCTTGGGCGGCGGTAATCACTTACCATCAACTATATAATATGTTAGTTATTGTCTTTAGTTAACTTACTATTTTTATAGGATAAAGGTGACAAACGAGCACACAGTTCAGCCTATCGCAAGTGGTTGTTGCGGCCCATAGACATCTACATCTATCCTCGCCTGCGAATCAAAATGCAGATGGGTTGTCAGCCGTGAGGACTAAGATAGAATGCCTCTTTTCCAGTAAAAAGAGTCTCCGGTTCTCTACACACACCATACGAAACACATAACACAGCCCTCCCCCACAGATTGCCCCAAAGGGAAGACTTGTGCAGGGACCCTTAAGAAAAACCAGGAAAAAAGTTGTTATCAGAAGATATTGCCGCCACTACACGGTGACATCAGTTTACAAAAAACCGCTACGGGCCTCTTGCACGAGTGAGGGGTGCGTTGGGATATGACAGTTACTCATTTTGTACTATTTATCACATAGAGCAACCCCGAGCATTAATCTGTGCATAGCTCACTGAGTGACTAAACTTCCTCAAACAGAAAGTAGCAGCAGCCGTGCTTTGTGAGTTTGATGGGAGTGGCGGTAATGATGATTATGATTATTTCAGAATATATTTATTATATTTTTTTTATAATGCTTTGTTACAGTTATAACATTAAACGCGTCGTAAATTCGCTTTAATCACGAAGTCACTGGCTGGCATTGTGAGAGTCACCACAACGGTATTCTAAATAAATTTAGCGCGGGATGTTTATCGTTGTACGATCGCCACTTGTTTTCATTCAATTCCATTAAAAATCTTTTCGCAGTACTTATACATTATTGAGGTCAAATTTATACTTTTATAAATGTGTTGCGGTCGTAATGATATCTGCCTGCATTAATTATACTGGCCGATATTACTTGCGATTAAAATTGTTAGCGTCGGCTCTCCAGTATATATGTTTTATCTATGGCATTGACCTTTTCACCATTTCTCAGTAGGTGTCGCTAAATGGCACATGGTTATCTTCGCCAAAATTAAATCAAAAATTATTATATGTATAATATATTTAAGCTAATAGTAATACAATTATATAACTTACAAGGAAAAAGCAAGGTTATTCTGTAAAATTTAATATAGGCAGTTATAGAATAAGGGTTACAAATGAACATACAGTTTACCTGATGGTGAGTGGATATTGTGGCGCATAGACATATACATCTATCCTCGGTCAAAATGCAGATGCATTGTCACCCCTGAGGACTAAAATGTTGTCTTGTCTCCAGTAAAAAGGGTCTACGGCTCTCTACACTCACCATACAAAACACAGCAGCATTAAACTGCTATTTTACGCTGGTACTCTGTGAGAGCGTGATCCTTCCCCGGTCAAGCGGACCCATTCGTGCTACAACCAATATTAAAGCTGTAGCGTGACTCTACCACGTATAAAAGAAAAGGCATAAAGTAAAATAAAAGTAATGTTACAGCCTATATACGTCTCATTCCTATTCATAGGCCTCCTCTCATTATGAGGCGAATTATTCACCGTGCTGCCCCAATACGTATTATGGGACTTCACATGTCTTAGAAATATTTTTGTCTTATTTTTCAAACCTGCAAGTTTTGCTCACGATATTTCATTTTATC